GGAGCTTGACCATTTAGAGCTTTATAAGTTAACAGTAGGATTTTAAATTCAATTCTGGATTTTACAGGGAGCCAGTGCAGAGAAGCTAAAACAGGAGAAATATGATCTCGTTTCTTAGTTCCTGTTAGTACACATGCTGCTGCATTCTGAATTAGCTGGAGAGTTTTTAAGGACTTACTAGAGCTGCAAATGCCAGTCCTGCATTTGTGGTCATTGAAGTCCCAATGAGAGTAGGGAACACTGGGGAAGTCCTTTCTGTTAGCACTGAACCAGCCTCCGCATGAGGAGTGGGTACCCTCTCCACTGCCAGCTCTGCACATGTGGTTGATGACAGCGTCCACATAGATGTTGACCTATGGGTAGATACAGGATTGTAGGTGCAACACAACTTATCAACACCTCTCTTCTATCCACCTTCACTTTCACTTCTTTCCTATAGCATGTTAAGTTCATTCTCAAGTTACAGGAATACGTCAAAGCTGCGCTGCTCACTGTTGAGTCACTGTGATGTTGGTGGGCCAGGAACTGAAGCATAACATTTTAACAGAAAAGCACCAGCTAAATGTCTAGGTGTGAATGAATATTTCTCAGGACAGAGGTATGGATACATGAAATTGTTCAATTTCATGAATGCCAGGTGTCTGTTGTTATTAAGCAGTTTGATTATGATAAATGTAGCATCAAGTGTTATGCAATGTATCTAAAAAAAATTTGTTGTCTTATACGAGGCTGTCGATTTACAATTTGCTGTGGAACGTAGAATTGTTCCTAATGTCTTTGAGTAAATCACTGTAGTTTACCCCAACGTTGTTGCATCTGGTGATCATGTCCCTCAGCTCGTTCTCATTGCCGGATCTGGAGCACAGGTTGTAGCCGGTTGGTTGGTATCTCTGCCACCAGGGCCTCCAGGGACTGTTCAGCACAATGTGCTCATTTGGAGGGGAGATCTGAGCAACAGAGACACATTACAGTATATATTTCTTTTAACATAGGAGTTGTCTGCGGACGGAATCACTGTTAAATGGAGTTCTATATATCAACAATGTGATATACACACTACAGCAATTTTACACATGAACTTAAAGTTAATCATCACGAGGGCTGCTACTCAGCATGTGAGTACATGTAGCTGAAATCACCTGATTTTACTTATGTGATCTATTTGTTAGAATTTAGAATAAAAATATCACACGCTTACAGGCTTTTACATTTAATGGTTTAGAGTTTATGACACTATGAATGTTGTCTATAGCTATGTTGACATTATCATTTTTGCCACCTGCGTGCCTAGACGTCTTCAACATACAGCTTGATTGCACACACCTTATCTCAGAATAGAAAAAAAGAAGACATTATTCTGCTTCTCTAGACTAGCAAACTATCCTGTCTTCAGCCATACATACCTGAACTCCACCAAAGCCATTTGGACCCAAGAAGCGCTCACACTCTGCAGCGATGTCCGCCCAGCGCCACTCAAACAGGTGGATGATGGCCGTCCTGCCGTGCTTGGTGTGAGGGTTGTGCTGGGCGAGGCCGAGCCCGAACAGAGCCACCAGAATGAACAACTTCATGCTTTCCCTGAATGAGCGAGAAAAACCACACTCACCTGCTGCCTCACTGTTAGTATTTATGCTCATTTTCTCTCCCTGCTGGACCAATGTGAGACTGGCAAATATCAGCATGGGGGTTAAACAGGTGCCTCTTGCTCATGGCTTCCTCCCTTTTGTTTATTTAGAAATTAATAGACTCTAGGCACGTAGAGGCTGGAAACATGAGGTGTGCATAATGTCTTTATCCAAATGTAAAAACAAGTGGCTTAAAGAGACTGGAAATATGCCAAAGATCCTGAAGTGTTATGTTCTGACAGTGACATGCAATTCAGTTGATCTTCTCTGCAGGTCAAAACAAACTGAAACTCAAAGTTCAAAGGATCACATCTGCCTTGTCATGTGGTGGTAATTTCAATGATTCAATAGTAACACTACCCTTACAAAAAAGAAGTTTATTCAAGTATGCTATTAGTATACTTCCTTTTAACTAAAAAATAAGAGAGTATACTTTCAGTTTACTTTTTATGTACTTATCAGAGATAAACTTACAAAGAGTATACTTATGAATACTTGGCTTATACTGACAAGTATAAAAAAAAGTCAAAGTATATTTTGCTTATACTTGTACTTAATATTTTGATTGAGATATACTAAAGGGAAGTATAGCTGAGAATTCTTGCCCTATACAGAGTGTTTAAGTATCCCAGATAGCATGGTGTCTGATTCAGTGGTGAAACTCCATCTGAATTGTTTTTGTTGAGGTTAAATATTCAAGGCTAAATAATATGCAATCAATGTTGATAACTCTTTGCTTTTGAAATTTGGAAATGACAGCACTAAATTCATGTTCCAGGTGTAACGCGGACCTGTCCGTTTTCAGTATCAGTTGAAGAAATCCACACCTGTGCATCCCTACTATAAAGGGTACTTGAAGTCTGAGAAACAATACTTTTTGAAAAGTTGATGGTCAAACAATATCATCATATCGTTCTTCTTGCCTGCTCTGACCAGATTTGACTAACAGATGGACACATTTTCTGCATATCGGTGATTCATCTGTTGCCCCTTAATTTTGCAAATATAGATGTAGGCACTGACACTTCGCAAATGATGCAGCCCCTCTCACACATGACAGCTGCTATGAATGGGGAGAACAGTTGATAGCTCAACAGGCCTGTACAATTTTATCAGGATTTGTGATGTTTAACTTTGTTCTTTCTCTGTGTGAATGCATCAATGGCAGAGGCTGAATTTTTATTTTATTTACTCAGTAGGGAGTTACTGTAGAGGGATGTTAAGGTTATACGTTCAATAGTAAATTACCAAAACTTCTTAGCCCTTGGTGTTTTCTATGTATGTGATACTGCAGTCAGTTCAAAGAGAAACAGTTATGCAGAAGTCACATCCCGGTTGGTTTTGCTTACACACGCAACAGTGCAATTTTTTTTCTGAGCATTGTGAAATGTATGGCTTTCCTTTCTTTTGATCTGCAAGTTAAAAGTAAACTTAAAGTCAATGGCAAAAATAATTTGGCTTATTACAATCAAGTTCATCATTCAAGTCTGAACATAAGATTTATTGTTGAAGTTGTACATGATGTTTTTACAGCTTGGACTCAGCATGAATAGCAACAAAGGGGTCCTCATCTCTGTTGCTGATCTTGAAGTGGGCGCGGCCATCACCTCCGACATGGATCTGCTTACCAGTGCACCTGCTTCCTTCTTTCTGGCCAGAAATGACGTCGCAGTAGGTGCCACCGGGCATGCCAGTGTTCAGGGTCACATCCAGGTTCCTGAAGGTGAAGACAAAGTACATGCTGTTTGTAAAACCACCACAATGCCACAATAAACTGCAGTGTTACTGATGCTGAGAGGATCTCCCTCTTATTTAGCTGTATTTTCTATTAAGGCAAGAGAAATAATAATGTTGTATTATTTGTTGGACGTTTTTCATAGTTGGATCTGAATTGTTTTTTTTCCCCTGTGTTTATGGTGAACAGGTGGGGAAAGAACTTTTTCCAGGATCATTTTTCTGGGTTACATTTTGTCAAGTGGGAACAGGTGTAGTACTTATTTTGGCCACAGGAGGCTGAAGTGTACCACTACCCCATGTTGTATTTGGGACTTAAAGCATTCATGTTTCTTCATACACGCTAGACACAAGGTACATACATTGTGTGTGCAGAGTGCAGAAAGATTATCCTGGCCAACCCTTTTTTTAATCTGTTCTTAAGTCATAAACACAGGAGAGAAAACAGTTTCAATCAGACTCAGAGAATGCATCACCCCAAGTTTTTTGTCACTTGCCCCTCTGGGCCTCTGTACAGAGTACATGGTCCTTACCAGTCATCATTGTTGAAGACAATGAATCCACGATTACCACGACCAGAGGCAACCTGGTTGCTCTGGTTGTCCCACCAGTTGGAGTGAGGCAGTCCATTGACCACATTGCGGAAAATAACCATGCTCCTAAAAGGGAGATATGACAAAATAAAATCATAAAGCATGATGTACATAGTTGACACATCCATATGACCAAGCAGAAGTGAATGCTCTGTGTGCACAGTCAACAGTTTCCTGTCTCTTGTCTTTCTGAAGACTCACTTGATCTGACGCCATCTGTGCTCACACACCCATCCGTCTCCACAGGTCTGGTCAGGGTTGATGGGAACAGGCTTGGTGGATCCATCACCATGGCTGGGAGGGCCCATCCAGTCATTCTGATCCTTCAAAATAATGATGGATCAATGAGTTTAACAAAAATAGTTCCAAATACTTACTTTAACTTGCATTTTATCATCATTCTTAATGAAGAATCTACCTTTCCATTGACAATGTTTCGGTTCCAGCGGAAGCTAGACATCACTCTGGCTACTCCGTAAGGGTGGGCCAGCATGTAGCCGACAGCCATCTTGTAGAGCCTGGAGTCCCAGAAGGTGACAATGGATGCACCACCGGCACCGTGGCCTCTCTGGTTGTCGTGGTTGTCAACAAAGACGAGAGCATTGCCGTTGGGCATGAAACCCCATCCCTCTCCCCAGGTCCTGCAACACAATTATATGATTTTACTAATGAGGAGTTCACCTCTAAAACATCCAAGTTTGGACAAAATGTTCTACCAGTTCTAATCAATTCATTTTGTCACATTTAGCAAGTTCGAAATTATGTCCAATACATCATAATTCAGGCACACAGACAGATGTACACGTACTTGGTGTAAGACAGCTTCTCGCCGTTCCATTTTCTGAAGACAGTTCCCAGTTTGGCGCCATATTTGAACTCAGTCACCCTTCCCAGATGGAAGTACTCTTTAGATGTGATGGGCTCGCCTCCCAAATCAATAACCTAGGGGGAAATCAACACATAATCCACATCATTCATACTATTCAAAGTAGATATGGTTTGGATTAACAGTACTGTATCAGTAAATATTGTGGATGACAAAAAGTAATTCAATGAGTAAGATTTTTTTTTACTCAACAGTAACAAGGACCATATTTCTGCTGTTAAACATTCATGTTGTAAGTGAAGACAGAGCACACTTATTTTTGGAGACTGTTTTGGCAGCTTACTACCTTTGCTATTTGAGTTGAACACTTTCAGCTTTACCCTTTTAAAAATTTAGCACCAATATTACCCGTATTTCACGGCCGCTTGTCAACTAGTAATGTGCTATTGGATATCAACATCTGCTCCCAGGGTGTGTATGTTTGTGTTTGTCATCTTGATTTCTGCGCTCATTTTCCCACGGCTCTGCTGACTGCTTTTTTTGCGTTATCAGTTACACAGTTGTGGAAATCATGTAAACTTCAGATTAACATTTCAAAACAACTTACCTCCTGGAAGATGAAAGGTCTGGCGCCACCAGGGAACCACTTGGTGTTGAGGTTGTGCAGGCGACCGTATACGGCAGACAGGTCACTGGGCCACTTGTGTTTGCAGGCATCCACTCTGAATCCAGCCACACCCATGTCAATCAGCTTGTTCATGAAGTCGGCCACCTTGCCCCGGACGTACTCTTTCTCCAGGGCGAGGTCCAACAGACCGACCAGACGACAGTCACGCACCTGGAGCAGTAAGTATGCATTTAGATCGCAATGTAATGATTCTTCTTGTTTAGAATGAGTTATTGTGATAGGAACGGTTCCTTTTATGGGTCCTTGAATTGAGTGTTTTTGAGTAACATTCATCACCTGATTGGGATCACCGTAGTTCTCAATATTGCCACTGCCAGTCCTGCATTTGTGGTCATTGAAGTCCCAGTGGGTGAAGGGGATACTGGGGAAGTCCTTCCTGTTAGCACTGAACCAGCCTCCGCATGAGGAGTGGGTACCCTCTCCACCGCCGGCACCGCACATGTGGTTGATGACAGCATCCACATAGATGTTGACCTATGGGTAGATACAGGATTGTAGGTGCAACACAACTTATCAACACCTCTCTATCATCCACCTTCACTTTCACTTCTTTCCTATAGCATGTTAAGTTCATTCTCGGGTTATAGGAATATGTCAAAGCTGCGCTGCTCACCGTTGAGTCACTGTGATGTTGGTGGGCCAGGAACCGAAGCATATAACACTCTAAAAATAAAATCAGCAGCTAAATGTCTAAGTGTGAATGATAATTCCTTAAGACAGAGGCATTAATTCATTACAGTGTTCAAAATTTCTTGTGTTCTAAAATGCCAGGTGTCTGTTGTTATTAAACAGCTTGATTATGATGAATGTAGCATCAAGTGTTATGCAATGTATCTGTTTAGAATTTGTTGTCTTATACGAGGCTGTAGATTTACGAGGTGCTGTCAAACGCAGGAGGGCATTGTTCCTAATGTCTTTGAGTAAATCACTGTAGTTTACCCCAACGTTGTTGCATCTGGTGATCATGTCCCTCAGCTCGTTCTCATTGCCGGATCTGGAGCACAGGTTGTAGCCGGTTGGTTGGTATCTCTGCCACCAGGGCCTCCAGGGACTGTTCAGCACAATGTGCTCATTTGGAGGGGAGATCTGAGCAACAGAGACACATTACAGTAATTATCAC